TAATTCTTTTACACAGATGAATCGGGAATATATGCTATACATCAATCTAAAAAATCAAGTGAGGTTTCAACAGTCCTAGTAAATAAAATGAAACTATTGCATTGAAAATCATATTAAAAACTGTAACTAAATTTAGCCACTGTAAGCCAACTCTACAGACATCCACAGGCATGTGTGACCTATGCTGGCAGAAAGAATATGCTTTGTGCTAAGAAATAATTTCATAATCAAGCTAAAGAACATGCCAAATTAGTTTCTACTGGTATCAGAAGTATTATTGTCCTACAATATCCACCAGTAATTATTCACAACAGTATTCACAAAGCCATCTGGGTACCTTAAATACCATCAGATTTTGTTTGGCACACTGAAACAAACAAAAAAAATCCTAAAACTAGAGAATAGATTTTATACATGTATATGCATATTGGATATGCATATGCTGTATAAAGCTGTGGTTCTGTATGCTATACTTTGGAAAGATAAATTGTTTTACAGCCATGCCATAACGTATATTGTATTAAACAGGGGAAAAGAAAAGAGAAAAAAGCTCACATACTTCTCCGCTTTTAAACTGTGAGTGGGAGATTCTTTCTTCCTAACCTAAACTCTGCCTACTCTTTACTGCCGATGTCTGAAATGAGACTCAGATGAGCACTCCTGTGTTAGCCAGCCTCCTTCTTCCTTCAGAAGAAACTCATCACTTTACAAGCAAAGCTGCACGTCATGACACATCAGTCTTGTGTCGGCTGTTGGTAGCTGCCTTTTCTACCTTCTCTCAGGTGTCATCACAAGAGCTTTAGTATTGTCTTCAGCTGCTCCATTTCCAAATTATATTAATTACCTTACTGTTTTATTTAATAATTGAAGTCTGTGAAAGTATACCTAGACAAACTGAGAACCAAGAACTGTCTCTAACCAAACCTTTTAGCTTTATGAGTTAAATTGTCCAAGACAAGCAGAGAATGGAAATATCTTTAGACCACAAAGTAGCAAAGATTTATGTATGTGCTAACCTGAAGCTCTGTGAATAGTCCTGTTGACTTCAGAGGGATTACTTATAGTCCATGAAGATAACCAATCTGCGTAAGTGATTGCAAAATTGAAACCTTAGATAGACTGTAATTGGATTTTGAAAAAGGCTCAGAAATTGGATACACAACTATAAATCACGTCCTTGAAGAGTTATAAATCACATAAAAAGAATACTTGGAATAAAACTATTTTTCTTAGTAGCTCAGCTGTATGGGACTAATGAATAGAATAAGATTAATTTAAAATTATCACAGATCATTAAATGTAAAGTTCCTGAGGCATGTTGCATGAGTCAAAAGATATGAGTCTCTGAAGGCACCCTTTATTTACTTTCTTGTTACTACTTCAGCTGCAATAAATCCATTACCTGCGTGACATAGTGAAAGGAAATTTATCAAGTATTAAAGGCAGGTGAAGATCAAAGATATATCCTACAAATATGTCTAATAATTAGGATAAAATCAGTATAAAATGAGTGCATTTATTACCAGCCGTATCGTGCCAGATACTTGGAGAAGACACGTACTTTGTTTTAATTAGCCATCTCTTTCGTGGGGTTGCTTGGCCAAAGCCTCCTGATAAGGAAAAATACTGTAGCCATTGGTCAAAATGCTTGTAACAAATCTTGTTTTAAGTTGACGCTATTTATTCAGAAACCAATCTACTACTGCTGCAGTAATTGATGTGTTTTCCTTTGAAGTAGAACTGTTCCTGTGCTACTGGAGGACTATTGTTAATTGCCTGTAACTAAATGATTGCTGTGCTTCTGAATGTAACTCCCTGGCACTCGCTCATTTGTTGCGTTTCACAGAATGCCTGTCCCCCTCAGGGTTAGTCGAGTAATTTTCCTCTACTATTTTCTACATTCAGTCTCAGCTCCTTAAGGAGGGCCAGGTCTGTAATTTCAGCAACGTAACATAGAGGCTAAGTAGACTTTAAAAGTTTTGCACTTTTCGTCTCTCCCCTCTGATGTGGAACTTAATGCCTGCTGCAGCAACTGTGCTCAAATCCCAATGCAAAAAGCAGAATAAAGCAGCAGGAAAAGTTTTTATTGTGAAGGCAACCTTACACCCTAATCTTGTTGTTACACTTTAACTTGGCTTTAACAGTCATTACGTCACTGTTGACATACGCATCACCAACACCCTTGCCATGTGCAGGGCACCTTTAGGAGTCACCCCTCCTACCAAGGAGCCAGACGCACCATCCCCCGTTTGCACTGAGAAAACCGAGGCACAGAAATGTGAAATGCCTTCAGTCACCAGAAGGGCCAACAGCAGAGGCAGGACCAAGCCTGCTGCTCCTCACACCTTCAGTTCAGTGCAACACAGGGCAACGCTGTTCGCTGAATCCCTGCGGCATCTCAAAGCCAGCCAGTCCCCCCGTGGGGCACGGTTTAGCACCCTACAGAAACACCAACTCAAGGCCGGAAAGCAATCAGCTTGGCATGGCGCAGTGCCCGGGCCAACCTGTCCTGCCTGCTGCCGCGCTCCATGGATGTGGCTGTCCCACCTGCAGAGCTTTCGGGGTTCGCTCCGGCATTTGCAGGGCTGGATGTAAGGATGTGGCAGTCTGCCGGGCTAGTTGCTGCTCCTCTCTCCCTCTGGACCCCGACGAACAGCACCCAAGACAGAGAGAGAACATGTGCTGACAGACGTTGTCCAGCACGGGGGAAAATACAAGCTTTCTATGCTAGATGGGTAGAGCATGAAACTTACTCTGTGAACAGATCTGTTTAAGAAAGAACCACCTTATCCTTGTGCTCATAAGCAAACACAATGGGCTCAGCAGCAGCACATGAAAAGGTAATTTCTAAGAAGTTTCAGGACGATCAGAGGATTTTGTTGTTTGCTTTGTTTGCCTAACTTAGGACAGTCTCATGTGTGTTTAGATAGACTTTACTGAAGTAAAAACATAGGCATAAGCTTGAATTATTTTATGGGGAAAAAGGTAACTAAAAGGGACTCTTTGATGGCACAAGTGATGCAGTGCATTAGTCAGATTTCATGCACAGTGACAGAAAACAGATGACTACCTGCAGTTATTTTTCCCATTTAATCTCAAAACCATTAATTTAAGAAAAACTTTTGTTTTCCAGTTGCAAATCTTTTCCTTGCCTTTAATGAGTCATAACAGCAGGCACATAAATAGACTATTTTTGCCTAGCAACCTGAAATATTAAAGCCTTTCTTCTAGTTACCTTTGAACAGCTGCATCACCTGTAGTACAAAAAGATAAACAGGGTATAGTAAGCCAGTGCAGAGTAATTTCCACTTCCATTTACATTCTAAAATACTGTGTTACTTGTCTATGCAAAGAATTTTTTGTTGGGTGTTTTTAATAACATTCCTCTCTTTGGACCAGAAAAGTATTGAAAGTCTGAAATAACCATATCGGTCTGAAAAATATCTAACACAAAGGAGTTTCCAGCACAGTTTTGGAGAGAATGATATGGAATATAAATGCCTTTTTATTTTATTTTATTACACTTTTAGTGTCTTCTAGAGAGCAATGAAATCTTCTTACAGTTGCCTCAAAATAATAAAAAAAGTGTGTGATTCTCAGTAGACACAGTCAAAATAAATGGAATTGTCACTTTTTCCTCTAACCTTTTATTTTCTAATTGAATGGTATTGTGCTGTAGTATCATATCTGCGTAACTACACACGCACAAAAAAACGTTACTCTAGGGCTACCTTGCTTCATTCAGACAGAAGCTGCCCCCTCGAAGAGGATATGGTGAAAATAACATGGAACTGAGCTTTGTCCAGTACAGATTTTTATGAAGCAAACTGTATATCTTAGATATCCAAGATGTGATTTCTTGGCATTCCTCAAACTTGAGTGATATTGGAAAAGTATGGGTGGTCTTAAGATTTGTTATCTATTACTCATTTCAAATTACAAAATTGTTAGTAATGCTCTTCCTCTTCCCACTCTCCTGTTTTAACATTGCCAGTTTTCACTCAATAGGTGAATGAAAAGTAACAACAAAATGGATGTCACATAGCTGTGTGAGCTTCCTTGAGCATGCAACAGTTAAGATGAGGGAAGGTGAAAGTCCATGATGGCATGCTACTTACACACTGATAAGTAGCCCCACTGAGGATACTGCTGGTGGTGGACAGTCGTGGCCGCATTTGACCAAAGTCCCCATCCTCAGGAACAGAGCTAGGTAGCAATGATCTCAATCCATCACATGAGTCTCCAGTGCCAGAGTGCAGCAAAGATGCCAGGGGGTCACTGTTTGAATGGGAATGTCACAAAGGACACATCGGGGTGGTTTGCTGTGACTACACACAAGCCATCCCCTGGGGAAAAAGGGAAAATAAAGATGAACTGCAGATCATTGGGAAACTGTGTTCAAGATATTAACACATAACTGACGTGAGGCTGTGGTGTTCCTTGGGTGATTTGTCTTCACATCCCTCAAGTTTCTGGGTTTTTTGAAAATTTTTATTTGTATTTTGGGAAAAAAAAAATCAAATCCTTGGTGTAATCTTATCCAGCAGACTGAAACTCATCTTATTTGTGTGTGGAATAAGGCAGGAACTGTGCATTATAGGCCCCAAAAAAAGAAACAATTCACCTCTGCTTTCATTGTAAGTGGAATGTCAATGTTTATATGCGTAAAGCAAACTGTGATCTATTTACAGAGAGTGAGAAGAAAGAGAGTTATCAAATCTCTCTTCTATATGTGCACATACTCATATACACACACACACAGAGCAACTTTTCTTTTTTAAATGAGCAATTCATATGGTGTACCAGAGGAAAACTATTTTATTAGAGGAAAAAAAACCCTATTAATTAGGTATTTTTTCAAGAGCCCTATAACAAAATAAATACATTAATAACCCATCATTCATTATTATATTTTAATGTTTAACATCAGTGAGAGGTCTGCTGCTAATCTTTCTCTGGTTTGGAATGTGGTTGTTACTGCATTTTGTAATTCTTTGCAGAGCTGATGTACACAGTTGAGCTTGCTGGTGGGCTTGGTGCTATTCTGCTGCTGCTTGTTTGTTTAGTGACTATCTACAAGTGTTACAAGATAGAGATTATGCTCTTCTACAGGAATCATTTTGGAGCTGAAGAACTAGATGGAGGTAAGGCAGCTTCTCAGTACGTTTCTTACTTTCTAAGTATGCCTGTCTTTCTTTTGTCTGCACCAAGGCCCAAATTTCATTTCAGTTCAAGATGCATCAACAACTGCAATTGTTCTTTCTCACTGCATTAGGCACTGACTTGAATATGCATTCCTCATACAGCACATTAGCAGCAGTGATTGCTGAGCTGATGTATGTGCTGCTCTCTGGAGCTCCAGAAGATACCTATGTCTTTTAGCTTTTTATTCCCGACACTGAATATAAATTACCATCACTGATGCGTTAAAGATTTTCACTTTCTGTCAGTACTGAAAGCCAGCTTCACTTCTCCCTAAGCTAGGGAGTGTCTTCCCTAATTGTATTCACCAAATAGGTAGAGGTTGGAGTGGATCTCAATTTACTGCTTGTTTAAACTGATCAGTTTCAATAAACTGTACCAAGTGTTTGGGAATGTACCTAGCAGTTAATTTTCTTAAGTTCATTTACTTAATCACTGAAAGACTGGCTAATGGTCATTAAAGTTGTTCTGTGATTCAAGGACACCCAGCCTAAGCAACAGTAATCCGCAATATATGCACCGGCTTGTGTCAAATGTATACACGCCTTGTCTTTTTTTCTATTTTTAAGAACTGAAGAAAAGGGTTGTCTTTGCCTGTAACCCTACTAATCAAAACTGCTCTTGAACAGCAAACTGTTGAGCTGCAAGGTCTGATTAATTAGGTTTGGTTTCTTGGGTCAGAGTTCCTGATGTTTTGTGTTACCATTACATCTTTGGTGACAGGACCTTCCTTTTTACTGAAATACTAATAAAAGCTGTTTTACAGTTCAAGGTAATAGCCTATGGCAGAAGCCACTGTGACATATTAAAATAAATACATACTGATAAACATGTGCTGTCCATATCTGTCACCAATAAGGGAGAAGAGAGGCAGCAGAATTAGAGGTCCTTACATAAGGGAAAGACTTCCATAATAAGACCACTAGGGAATGACCCACTTCTGCCTCCCATCTAAAAATGCATAAGGATTCAAAATAAAAAATGCTCAGAACAACAAGCCCAAGAACATTAGAACATTTTGTATCCTTATACTGGACTTACGAAAAGGATGCATTAGTATAGCTGCTCAGTGAGGGAAAAAATCAGGTTATTCTATTTTACAGAGGAGGAAACTGAGGCTCAGAGGGACTGTGACTCATGGAGGATTTTGGCAGACACCTATTTTTTTCAGGAGCCAAGATCCTCTCTCGTCCACAAAGGACCCCCCAGTTTAAATGTGCATGCTTACTTGCATGAATTGTGTGAATTTAATAATAGTCATCCTATATTATGCAGAAATAGGTTAAGTAATAATTGTTTAAATAGAAGCAATTCAGTGTTTTCTCCTTCAGTATCAGTAATTCTTACTTTTACAGCTGCCATTTATTGTGTTGTTACCTCAAATCATTCCAATTCATTTGCATACTTACTCTACCAGGTGTTATGCGCTTGCCTCTCCCTCCTCCCACCCCAAACGCTGGTCATCTGGGAACAACAATACTTTAATCACACAATTTAAACAACAGAAATATCCATTCAATTTATCTTTCTAAGCAAGGTCACTCTTAAAGAGGATAAATCATGGATTCTCCTTAGGTGATCAGTGCAAACACTGATAGCTTGGGTGCTTAACCACAGTAATGTAAGAAAAAAATATCACTTGCAGATTCCTAAAAGAAATCTGTAGCTTCTAGTATATTCAATACAGTAGCAACATGGACAAAACCCATTGTGCCAATGAAGGTACTGCAGCTGGACTTTTACTTCTGCCTCTTTCACTTACACACTTGCAAAACCAAGAAGACAGAGAGAAAATTCCCCACAGAAGACCAAGCCACGGCTTGTGCAGAAATAAATTGTAGACATACATTTAGATCTTTTCCTTTGGCTTAGTTTGTTACTGACAGACACAAATGCTGAACCCTCAAAACTTCTTCTAACCGCATCTCCTGCAGTGCAACAGCAGAGCACCCACGTGCTATTCAAAATTTACACCATGTTCTGTCATACTTCGGGACAGCAAGTAGATAAGCAAACATCAAAATATCACAGGCTTTTTTTGTGTGCACTATGTTATACCCAGAGAGGATTTCAAACACTTTAAAAGTGAGGTCCAATTAAAAATTTCAGTTGAAAATCTCTTTTAAAATGCAACACTTCATTTCTTTGCTGATCAGAGAGCAAGCCCTTCAGGATGTCAAATCTCATCACAATTCCTCTTTCCTTTCCAAGCCTTAGACACATCAGTTTTTGTCAGGCTAACGTGCGCATTTATGTGGGAGGCATAGGTAAACTGTGAGAAATATTTGAAAACGAAGTATTTAACCCTTACAGCTAATGCAACTTCATATATCACTTTCTGTAGTGGTACTGAAGATTACACAAGTCATCACAGCCGCTAATTCCTCGTGTCTCTACCTTGCAGCATTGAAATTCCCATCTTTTCTCTCAGCATGGGGCCTAGACTCTCCTTTTTTTTTCTCTCTCCTGCAAACACTTTAGCTCATTCTCGCCTTTATTGTCTCCTGGGAACGGGCTTGAAAGACACTGATTTTGTTTTCGTGGTTAATTCCCTGCCTTTCCTGCTAAATTGGAATGTAATCAAACCCACCTCATCTCTTACCATTTTTCTTTCCACTCTGTACCTGTGCTTTCCAGCCACCTGGGAGTTGACTCTACACCAGGGGACTGCGTGACAGACGCCTTGTTGTGTCCTTAAGTGTGGAGCAACGTCAGGGGACCTCGCTGTGAACATCGGACAGATCCCCCAGGAGCTGGGGCACAGGGGCAAGAAAAACACTCTGGCACTTGGCAAAGCAGTAGCTTTCTCACCAGCAGGCGTTTGGCATGACCTTGCGTCTCGGAGATATAACTCACCCCTGCCAGTTAGGTGGTCTAAAACTCCCAAATCTTTTTCAGTGGAGAATTTCAGGTCAAGATCTTTCCACAAACACGAATAAGATACTACTGAAGTGGTATGCAAAGCGATGTCCAACACTGTTCTGAAAACAATAAAATTTTCAGAAATAGATACTTCACTGGGAACTGCAGGATGATCATTGTTAAATGTCAGGCAACCTTTTTAGGTTTGCAGCTCCAAACTTGAAAGCTTTTTTTAAAAAAAATTTGCACTTTAAGGACAAATACATTATTAGTGAAAACCACTTTTAGAAGTGATATTTTCTTGTGTTTTGCTGTACATTGAGCTCCAACACAAGAGATTTTATGCCACATTCATCCCCTCAGGAGTGCTTTAACAGTTACTGTGTACGCATTTTTATTTTCCAAGGATATTGTATTGCTGCCTTTCCCAGTGTTTTTAAATGACGTGATGAACAAGCTAAATATCGTACTTCATCTAACAGAGAAGAGTAAAAATGCAAGTAAACATTTACAAGTGCCCACAATCAACACATGCCCTGACTTCTTTCTGCCTTACACTCTGTGACCTTCAGAAGCTGTTTGTATCAGAATAGATATTACTCATGTAGAGAAATCTGCTCTTTGCCTGGGTAAGAGCTGACTTCCAGCCCCCCTAATATCTATGGAACTTTCCTCAGGATTTTACGGAGGAAAACTTTCTCCCTGATGAGACTGCTCCTGCTCATCAAATCGTGCAAGGCTCAGTCCCCAGGCACGACAGTCACAGCAGACACAGACAGGGTGGGACAGGGAGTCGGACCACTTCTCTGAGCAGCACCATTTATGATGCTGCTTTAAAGTGGTCAAGAGGCTCAAAGACACCAAACCAGCTATTTTCAACATTTTCTTGCATTTCAAGACCTGACAGTTTCCAGAGGATGTGCAGATGTCTGTATGCCAGCTTTAAGGTTTAGTAAGGATAAATCCAAAAGTCCATGGATGACAGGCTGAAAACGATTGGACATTTTCAGATAGGCAAAATTACTCAAAATCATGAACATATGTATGTGTCTACATTGTGGACTCAGAGAAAAGAACATACGGTACAGCTGGCAGTAGAAACAGTCTGCAGGCACCTGCCCCTACAATTACGTGGGTCCATTAGTAACTACTTAAATTGATGGAAGTTTTTGTATGAAGGAATTCCTAAGCTAGGGGTGAACACTATCATAAAAAAGAATACATTTTACATTAAGAGGCTAGCATTAAAATTGATATGAATAAAAATGTAGCAATTAAAAAGAAAGTCTGAACAAATGTGCTGTAAATAGCTGTCTAATGAAATTTACATAAATATGCTTTCTCACAGCTAGGCTGATGAGAAGTCAAGCTTTAGGCTCAAGAACAAAAAAAACTGTAAGCAGCTGATAACTAGAAAGTGAAAGCTTGGCTGAGCAGCTGATTTGATGTGACGTTCACAATGACCCTTGGTGCCTTTAGGTCCCATCAGATGTTTCTACAATGTTGGACAGGAGCTCTCTGTGGTGTTCCTTGCAGTCTTCCATCTTATTGTCAGCTTTCCTTGCCAAGGAAACCTGGGTGAATTGAGGGAAGACACAGCCTCGGTGCAGCTGGGGTGCAGCTGGGGTAGGCACCTGGGAGCCAGGGCTATGGAGTTCCTCTGGGTTTCAATTTCAGTTCTGCAGGTTGCCACTTCTGGGGTTTCTTTGGTTTTGATTATTGTTTGGTGTTTTTTTTTTCCCACATTGCTGGAATAAAAGAAAGTGCTCCTGAAGTGCTTAAAATTTGTCACTGCTGAGCTCTGTAAATTCAGGAAATCTTCTCTGGATTTGGTACATGACACGTGACATCTATAATGGCTGTTTCTTGGCTGTGCTGGTTTGCACTTCAGAGATGAATTTTTACTGCTTGCTGAGGGAAAGTAAATCAATGCTCAGATTAGAACTTTGATGGAACAGTTTCTGCCTTGGAGTCTCTGTTGCACCTAGGAGTCCTTAGGTAATCGTGATTTTTGCCCTTACTATTATGTAGCCGCAAAAGACTAGCAGGGTTCATGGACAGACCCATAGGATTGCCAGAT